GCAGTCGACTGGCAGCCCGCAAGGCCGCCCAAGCTGCTAGCTCCCTCGTTCGACGGCACGGCGGCAAAGCTGACCCAATACGAGAAGGACTTGAAGCGTTACCGATCGTACTTTCCAGAGGAGAGATGGAACGAGATCCTGTCTCTCACCTTGGTCGGGTCGGCCGCCGATTGGTTCGCCTCTGGCAGCGACAAGTGGTGGAGGCTCTCGCACCAGGAGCTCTGCGATCGGCTCCGGCTCCGTTTCGGCGACCCCAACGAGCGTCCCACTGCGATGAAGGCGATTATCAACATGAGCAAGCTGTCGGTGTTGGAGATCCAGACGGTCCTCGACAAGTATGCGGAGGTGTCGGGTCTGTCAGAGAGCGAGATCGCGAAGGCTATCTGGGCCGCCATGTCTCTCGAAGTCTACCAGTTCGCGCGGATGGAAAATATATCCGAGAATCTCCCGCCGTCTGAGCTCATGGCGAGCCTGTGGGCGATGCAGGAGTGGGAGAGCCGAAAGGTCACAGCGGCGCCGCCTCAACCGCAGCCGCAGCCGAGCTACAAGGCGCCGTTCTATGGTCAGCGTGCGGCTCAACCGAAGCAGCCTTCCCAGCCGCAGAAGCAGCAGACCAGCGTGGTGGCGGCGGTGGCATTCGCGGAGGCTATGGCGGCCAAGTACAACTTGTCGGCGGAGGAGCTCGAGAGACGTCGTCGTGAGCACCTTTGTTTCCGCTGTGGCTCTGGAACCCATCTCAGGAAGACATGCGGTCAGGCCCCGGCGGTGGCGGCAGTTCAAGGTGAAGCCGCGCAGGGAAAAGCCCAGCCCGACTCCCCCTGAACGCGGTAGGAGTCGGGCGATACGAAGCGTTGACACAGCAGGTGCAAGTCGCGTGCGCGGGTTCTTCTGATACCGCGATGCAGGTGCAAGCTCTTATTGACACTGGATCGGTCGCCACATTTGTGAGCCGTGCTGTAGCAAATACACTTCGTGCCCCCTCATTTCCAGTTCCAATGATCAAGTTGAGGACAGTGACGAAAGAGGAGATGAAGGTGCGCGAGGGCGTGGCGCTGCGAGTTACTTTGGCGGGCCGGCAGTTGTGGGTCCAAGCGATGATCCTGGATGGGCCGGTGGTGCCGCTCCTGTTGGGCATGGATGTGCTGGCGGCGGCAAATCCTGTCATCGATCTGGCGACTCGGACGGTGCGGTTCGAGAGCATGAAGCCGGTTCGTGTCAGAGGCAAGGGCAGTCTGGGCTCGGGCGTCAT